CCCTTCCAATCTCTAATGTTCTGTGATTCCCATATACCTAATGCTATTTGTGAACGTGATCACAATTTTCTCCATCTGGATAGCATGGAGGTTAGCTAAGTGCATCTTTGTCTCTTTTTGTTGTTATTAAATAGGGACAAATGGATGGAGTCCTACAAAAAAGGAATAATTAATGTATTTCCTCTATTAATTCAACAGTTTAGCCCCCAGTACTTTCACCTGAGACATGAGGTACGGATTCAGTTCTGGTTCTCTGTTGGATTGAGTCCGAATATTTCCTTACATTTAGAACCGTGCTCTTATCTAAAAAGGCATAAAACCAGGTTTACTGTGGAGGACGATCTGTGACAGAATACAAGAATGGCTTATATTTTATAATGTATAAATATAAGTGCCTCATTTCAGGATCTTATCCCCAGTGAACACCTCGCCAAGGTCATCCTTCTCTCCATTCTGTTAAATGCTTCGCAGTGTTCTGTACGGTAAATGAACTTAACCTGTTTCAGAGGAAAAACATGGGATAAAAGACTTCATGGATGGGGGCATAGGTGTAGACCTGAAGATACAAAGTAGAAGGTTCAGCATGGATTCCATTTTAGAAGATAAAAGCTCTCATTGCAAAGGAAAAAGATGTGAGGAGGTGATGGCAGTTTGGAGTGAGTGGTATGAGATTAGAATTTGAGTACGGAAGGAGTGGTAAAAAACTATGTAGTAAAATGATGCAGGATTGAGTACATTTGGGAACAGGAGTGGAGTTTAGAGGAGAGATGTGGGGGGTTTTAGAAAAGTATGAAAGAATGATACTCAAAGGAAGGACAGGATGAAAGATTAGAAGCAACATAGGACTTACACATTACCAGACTTCAATAGCTAGAAGATTAACTAGCAGGTTATAAAACCAGCAATTATAAAGATTGAGCTCTTGCTGAGAAGATTGATGCTAAAGCTAATTCAAGTGAACAGAAATAATGCTGAGAGTATTTCCTAATGAATACTTCTGGGTCACTGAAACCTTTCTGGTCATCTGAACAGTTTTGCTCCAACTTTATAGTAACAAGCTTAATGATAAAACAAATATTCTCACAAGTTTGTCACCTCTGTATAAAACAGATTAAGACAAAGTTGCACATTATGGCTGAGCTGGTCTAGCTGGCTCATTGCTGCCAAAAAGGGAAGGTCTTGGCTTTTCCCTTATGCTCATTTTGTTGCTCATCTGATCCCATGGTGACATAATTCACTTTAGTAATCGCTCCCCTCCCCCCAAAAAAAAAAAATTGTTACCTGTTTTGTTTTGTGTTTGACTGCCAGATTGATTTTCTGAGTTGGCTCATTAAGCTGACAGAAAGTGTGTGATCAGAGGAACACCAGAGAAGCCTGTGGCTCGGAGGGGAGTTGACAGTGAGGAGAGAGTACAGCCTCCATTTTGGGAGCATTGCACTAAATTCTTTGATTGGCTCAAGCCATAACATGTAGCTTTACCTTCAAAGTTCTTGTGTCTATTTCTCCAGCCACACTGTTCATTGGAGGAAGATAGGATGAGAGGAATTGCAAGTATGCACGGTGCTCAGCCACTTAGAAAATGAGTCCAGTAAACCAATCTTTGTTCAACAGAACAAGGAATCCACTGCCCCCAGATCTTTCTTCTAGCATTATCTGTGGCCTATGATCTGGAAGCAGAGAGCTGCTGCCAAAGTTTGTATGGGAACCAAACAAATAATGAACATTATGGGCATGAATCTTGTCTGCGAGTGCCTGTATTGTACAGCATGCTTCAACAAATGGTATCGCTGTACATAATTGGTGGGAAAACAACAGTAACAGTTAATGTATTTTTTTTTTCCAAACAAAATGCATGTTTTATTAAGCTCTGGTTTTGCCCATGGCTGTTACGTAAAAGCTGCAAATGTAATTGTTGCAAGCTGTTTATTTAGTGTCTGCTGGATTGTTTATTTGAAAGCAATTTTTGTAATAAATATCCACTATGACATACTGTTAAAATTGTTCCAGAACTTCAAGTCCTTAGTGTTCTTCCCTGTTGCATTATCTTTGTCATGTCAGGCTTTAGTACATTTAATGTTATTGGCTCTGCATAATACAGCCTTTGTTTTGCACTCAACAGAACTATTTTTACCTTGATTGTGACTACTAGGCTAATAAGAATGGCTTCATGCATTTTTTAGTCTCCCTTCATCCAAAATGAGACTAAGGGGAATAGCACTGAAGTGAAAATAACTTTGCATTTACTTAGATTATTCAAAGCTTAATGTTTCAATGAAATACAGAAACAAAGAATTGGTCATAAAACTGACAGTATTAACTGTGATGAGAAGAGGTCTGTTTAAAGGAACAGAACGGAGTAGGACTGGGGAGAGACATCACAGCATCCTCTGAGAGGGGCAGCAGTGCATTTCTTCTCGGTTCTTAAGACTTTGCTGACACCTCAAGCTGCAATAAATAGGGCAGTGTTCATAAAAGTGATTCTACCCTCTGTATCCTGCTGTGTTGGGCCAGTCAGCAGAGCATCCCTGTTTCCTCCTACAAATTTCTGTGATTTCTTAGCACATCACATCAGTGCAGGCTAATGCTAATAGCTGTAGATGGCTTCATTGTATCTGCATGGTGCATGTTTTTTTTTTTTCAGGACACAGTATGTACAGCTATAAGTTAGAAAAAAGCAGGCAATTAAACTCTTTATAGCAATCTATATCAAATACTAGACTTAAGTACATCATTTCAAATGATGTCAAAGTATTATGAACTGGGGAGTGAGGAAGCCCTGAAACTAAGAAACTTTTTCAGGTTTTGTTTGAAGTGACTATTTAATAGAGTGCCAAGGTTTGGTATAATGCTATTTACATATTTTTCTACAGTTTGTTAAAGCTGTCCTATGCTCTACGTTCACTGCAAAAGGGGACATGGATGCCCTCCACAAAGGAGTATGATTATAATTGAGAAAGGGGTTAGGGGTGGAAATAAAGGATAAGAATATTTCTGTAATGTGAATTTAGCTACTGCTATACCTGGTCTGCAGTACTTGAAATAGATGAAATGCTGCTGTGAGGGGAACTACCCAGAGAGCGGCTTGCAGCTTCTGGCACTTCTAGAAAAGAGAAAGAACAACATTTGTAACTTTTCAAAGTATGCTGTATGAAATTGATTTCTTACAAGGACTTTAGAAGATCTGTAAATTCTTGACCTTTGGTATCACTCAGGAAAGCTATCTGCTGTAAATGGATGGGCCCTATATAAGTGTGTGGGACACTCACCTGCTCAAAAGAGGAGCTTTGCTTATAAAGAGAGAAACAGTTTGGTTAACAACTTAGTTAATAGCCAGAGCTAGACTTAAAATGCAAGGAAAAAACCCACCACCACTTAAGTGAATCAATGTAGCAATAGATAAAGAAAATGCAGGAACACAAAGCAAAAACTACTCGGTCCAGTGTGAGCAGTCATACAGGTGAGGGAGTCAGGAAAAGAAGTGTAGGTCAGAGATAATTTTTCACTAATTTAGTCCAACTGAAATGTTTATATATTTGTGCAAGAAGAAGCAGCTAAATAGAGAAGCAGAACTAGCAGAAAAGACTATGAAGCTTAATTATAATTTCAAATAACAAAGCGTGGTAGGAAATAGCTATTAGGGCTGAAATTCAGATGTCAAAGAGTTTAAGAAATTAGAAGGGAAGTGTTTGAGTAGTGTTGCATAATAGCAATATGATAGAAATATGGGAAATACATATAGATAATTGTTTACTGGTAAAACAGAGTCTTGGTCAAAGACAATATAGGTGTCTGCTATGGGTACTTGTGATCAGAGCTGGGTACATATCAATATAATTAGAGAAGATGGTTGTACAAAGTTGAGTGTTGCTTATTCTGTTATTACTGCAGGTTTTATTTATTGGGGGAGAAAAATGCTGCTAGGATTGTTAGCACACACCTATTCCTGGACACGATACTTTGCAGACTGCTTTATCCTATCTTCACTAATGTAATTCTGATTTCATATTTTGGTTTCAGAAAGCAGTAAGAATGTTATAGAGGTCATACAGTGACTCAGAGTTAAAAAATTCAATTGGACTGGAGAGCTCAAAGACACCTGCATGAAGTAGGTTTAGAACTTCTTTTGTAGTAAAGATGCAACCATCTGGAAGCTGCATTCCAAGTACAGGGGAGACATTGTAAGGAGCAGTTCTAGCTCTCAATGAATGAATAATCACGTCAAGAAGGCTATTCAATGTTAAGAATGTTGGTTTCTCTGTCAAATTTTGATTGACCAGCTGAAAAGCTACAGCTGAAAAGTACTTTGTGTGAATAAAGTAAGAATTGCCAGAAGTCAGCATGAATTAGACTTTACAAAAGGAGATTAAAATAAGTAGTAAGAGATTCCTCAGCTGTATAAAAAAGAAAGACAAACAGGGTTGTCTGTAGTAAGAATTTAATTGATTTTAAATATAATCTAGGTACTAAACCAATATTAGTTCTGGTACAGAAATGGAAATTTCTACAACCACATTGAAAGCAAATCTCAAATAGTTTAGTATGATTGAACTGGGGGGCCCAGATAATCTTAATCCCCAAAATTTAAAAAAACTGGCACATGAAATTACAGGACTGGTAACAGTTATTTTAAATAAATGTCAAGTCAGGGTGGTATCACATGATTAAAGAATACCAAACATTATTTCTATATTTAAAGTGGAAAAAATGACCTAAGCAACTACAGGCCTTTCTGTCTGACTCCACAGAACACAAGGCCCTAGGAGAGAATTTGAAGGAAAGAACATTAAGATTTGGAGGTAAAGGTACAAGCAAGAGAAAATCTGAAATTTACCCAAGTAGATAAAGTGTTATAGCTCTTTCCTAAAATAACAGTTCTACAAAGAGGGAATATGGTATTATACTTGCTCTGGACTTCAGTAGAGTGTTTGATACTGTGCCATATGGGGAATTAGTACTTTTTATGAAGATGAAAGTTAGCACTAGGTTTGTATGGTGACAAGGAAGAGATGTCAGGTTATACTGAAGGGATGTTAGTGATTGGGACCGATTGTGTCTAAGTTGTTATTGGACCTGGCACAGAATAAGAGTGTGTTAAAGAAAGTTTCCTAATCAGAGCAGCATTTAGCACTAAATGACCTCAAAGAACAGTTAACTTTAGGGATTAGTAAGAATTTATGCAACAAGTTGAAGCATATCAGTTGTGTGACAGGAGCAGACAAATTTGAGAGCATCAGTCTATTGCATGAATATGAACCATTATTATACTTAACAGCACAGGAGATGGAACTGCAACATACATCAAGCAAACATTTCCAGGAAATAGAGAGACATACTAATAACAAAATGTAAGTTTAAAGCTACACCACATGCACACTTTTATGTGCAGTTCTCATCATCCATTTACAGTGTGAAAGATATGTTCAGACTGAAACATGTGGAAAAGGGCTTGTAAGAAGGTCAGACAAGTGTCTGCTAACAAGAGACTAGGAAAATGTTAGATCTAATTTACACTTCTGCGAAGAGAGTTAATGTACATATTACATAATTTGTTTTCAAGTGTGAACTGAAACTCAAGTCCCTCTAAAAGTATTACTTACAGAATGGCTTTAGAATTTGCCACTGCAAAAATACATGCTTCCCCCCCTCCCCCCCGCCATGTAGTAAGAATAAACTGCTGGATGCAATAATAGTCTGTCTGGCTTCTAGTCAACAGAAGCCTGGAACAGCCCAGAAATGTCATATTTTGGATTCTTCAGTGGCAAGAAAGATTGATGGAATCTTTATTATGACCCAGACTGCCTTTGGTAGAAGTTTCCAGTAGTCACAAATGTGAATTTCCATCAATTTATACAATAACCCTGACATACTCCCTTAATTTTACTAGCTGAGCTAAGCCCCTGGATACTTGATCTCCTCTTTGTATGCATTACAGAGACAAATGTTAATTCAAAACTAATGAATATGCATGGCATCTTGAAATAATCTTATTTCAAAGATAAAATGTGACTAGTTTGTAGTTTCAAATTAAATTCAAAATCTGAATTATACTTACTTGGCAGAATTGAGGTCTTTTGCAGCAAAGGCCTGAAATAAATATCAAGATATTACAGAAAGGTCTGAGGAGATCTACCCAGGTCTGAGTATATTAAAATTATGCATTTGAAGCATGCAGTAGTAGAATGTGTTCCATCTCACCCATTTGCCCATTGAGAAATAAGGGCCAGATGCAGGTATCTAAAAAAATAATATACCACTAATACTGACAACTAGGAATTTAAACATCTGGTTTAAATCTCCATCACCTAATTAGATCATATCCTCCCATGCTTTTTGGTGGTGGTTATAGTATTTGGATGCATTTACCATGTTCTATTTTTTACTCCTGTGAGGCTTCAAGAAACATGACTTTCAAAAAGCGACAGAAGGCCACAGAGAAAATAGTGCTCCCCTTTGAACACAGCTGTGGGAAGTTCAGACTGAGCAGTAGGAGCTAGTGCACTGAAATATTCAAAAGATGATGAAAAGGGATTTTACTTTTGGGCACCACTTGGAAGGGGTGGAAGAGGAAGCTCTTGGCTGGAACCTCGCCGTCGTTCTGCTGCTGTAGATTTTTCTGTAGTTTGGGAAAACAAATTGTAGAGTCAAGATTTTTTCAGAAATATATTGTCCCAGATAAGAGATTCCCAGTAATTGAAAGAGGGTTTCTTTTCTTATTATTATAATAATTTTGGTTGCATTTTTTTTCCTTAGATGGCAGCTTGCTATCCTGCTGCTTTCTTTACTGACTAGTGGCATGCCACCGAATTTCTAGGCAAACAGCTGCGTGGTGAATGCTCGAAGGAGCTCAGTGGGACACTCGCTTTCCGAGAGACAAGCTGTGTGACACGGGGGAGGACGCTGGGGCAGGCTGTCTACAAGAGCTCAGCCAGAAGAGGTGCAGCTGTCTGGCTGCATCCTACCCTCGTGTTAGACAGCAGCTCCTGGCGAGTTTTTTGCCTGGAGGAGCTGCTGCCTGGTGCAGAGGCGAGACATTTTCTGCCTGTGCGAGGGACTGGTTTTGCCAGGAATCAGCTCCGTAGGAGGTGGTTCTTGCTGACTTCTGAATGATGTGCTCACACTTGGCCTCCCTTCTCCACTCTGAGGACTGTATGGCACATTGCTGGTCCATTATGTTGTACATTACCCTGGCAGTAACCTCAATAGCTTTGCTGGGACTGCTTTTAGGGAACAATGATATTCAGTGCAATTAAGGCTGGCCAGATCCAGTTCTAAATTGCTAAAACCAAACCCCCCCTCAGAAATCCAGAATAAATTGAATGTAGTGTTTGTTTCATGTTTTTAATAAAAGAAAATGAAATTCTGATAAATGTCAACTTTTTTCACAGTAGTAGAGATAATTTACCTTCATTTGCAGTTAAAATCTCTCTGGAAGGTAAACATGGTTTCTGCAATAAAACAGAAGGCAGTCAAATATTAAATGGCATGTCACTTGTACAGAAAATGTTTATCTTTTTATAGTTTTTGTGAATTGACAGCATCCTGGAGGAATCAGGAGATAGGGACACGGCCATTCTGTGAAGAGCCTAGTTGTATGACCTTGAAGCCTGGGATTTTGCAAAGTGTTTTGGAAAGAATCACAGTTTGTCTGTGTAAATAGACGGACAAAAATAAAATCTAGAGAAGGTGCCTAATTATTTGTGTTTTTTTTTTTTTTTTTTTAATTCCCATCAGTAAGCTTATGGTGTAACAAATGGCTTATTCTTGTCTCAAGTCCAAAAATGAAGAGTCCATCTCAAATACTTATTAATCAAAATTTGAGTATTTTTGCCTTGCTCACTAATGTCTGAACACATTTCTCTTTACTGAAAAACTGTCAGTTTAGCTGACAGTAAAAACACTCCCAGCCTTCCAGTTTCTTTTTTTTTGTTTTTAATTTTGAAACAATGATAGTAAACTGTCAGTTTTGAAAAAATTTTCAAATTAATTTCTTTGAAAATTTCAAAGTTCTCTCACTTTCTCCCACCAGAGGCTTTGGGATGTTTTTCTAATGATGAAATACTTACTGAAAAACCTCTGACAAATTCTGGTAAAGTCCCACATCTTTCTTGAGCTATCACTCTTACAATAAATCCCTGTTCCCCATATGCAGCCATGTGTATTTCAGGGAATACTTCTGAATGGCCCATTTTCCCATTTATTTCCCATTTTATTCCATTTTTGCACTGTATTTATTGTTACATCCCAGGAGTACTGAATTCAAGCATCTCTTTAAATATTTTACTACTTGAGTTTTCTCACTCCTGCTTAGTTCATGTAACTGAAAATATTATAAGTATTTCCTTTCTTTATAACTCCCTTTTTCCCCTATTCTTTTTACGTATTTATGCTGTACTCATGATAAAATTAAGTTTTACAATAAATAAAAAATAACCCATAAAATTATAGTTTGATTATGCAATTACAAGTCAACTTACTGTTGAATTTACTGCATTACGAGTTTTCTTTCTGCAAATTGTCAGAAAAAGAAAAAAGAGTATGTTTACTTAGCAGATACATTAATTCATTTATCAACTAAGCATCAGGTTCTTTGATTCCCAAGATATTTCTGGCCAAGATGGGATACATCTCCTTATCGGATAGCTACAGCAGTTAGAAAAACAAAACAAAAGAATAAGGCTATCAGATGTAAAGTGGGTTCTCAGGAAAGGTACTTCTGATATGCAAGGAATCTATACTCTGCCCAGTGCTTAAGATGACAACTTGGGTGGGGCAGAAGAGTTTTAATGAAAACCACAGCTTTCTGCATTTATAGGCATGCACGTGCTATTGCTGCAGTATGTGACTAAATTAAGAAGGCCAGCCAGCATCTGCCATCAGTGGCAGGCAATGAAGGGCAGTGGCACTGGCATGCAAGGAGTATTCCTCCAGAAGTAGTGAAAGAAGAGCTTGCCTTTACTTAGTCAGCAATAAAAATGAACAGCAATAAAAATTACTCCTGAATTCTGATTGCCATAGGGAAGGATAGGAGTTAGCTCCTAATACACCTAGTATTTAACCCTATCCCCAAATAAGTAGTTTTATTATTTTTTACTCACATGCCCCTTGGTAATGGAGATGGAGCTGCTCCAGCGGGAAGTCTGGATTCTTGTGTGTTACTGAAGCTATGATCTAGAGATGCAAAGGACACATTTAGTACACAACATCAGCTGTATCTGGACAGTGGCTTTTCCTCACTGCCATTTCAGTACCAATGTGATAAAAATAAAACATAACCATCAGTTTTTGTCTTGACAGGTTTTCACTCTGATTATAGTAGAGAACAGTTCAGTAACATTTCTTGCTTATTGCTGACCATTACAGATAAAATTTATGCTGACATACTCCACTACATGCTTTATTAAGGTCACGAGGGACATACTGACAACAAATACCACTCATGTTTTCAGTACAGAATACTTACTTTCATCATTATTGTTTGCTTCATGGTCCTGTAATGGAAAAATGTTATATTTGATGGGAAGCAATTAAAAAAGGAATATTATTACACGCAAAGTGCATAAACAGACTGATCTTGGTTTAAACACTGTACTAGTGTTTAAATAAATACTTGTATAGAATGCATATAATATCCAGGCTACTTTTCATCAGCTTTTATTACAGCATTTGAAAAATTTTAGCAACCATCAGTCTAAATTTGAACATTCTAACAACCTTCAGATTGCTTGTAGTATTGAGAAAATTGGCCCTGAATTTTGCAATGAGACCTTTTGGTTTGTATTTTATTTCTGAGCTGAAAAGCAGAAATTTCAGAGCAGATTTGATTATACTAAGAACACAGTTTCCATTGAATGGAGGATACTGACTAGACTGTCTTTTCATCGTGCTAGAATTGAAGCGATCCAACTCATTTCCCAGCTTCTTTTGGAGATTTTTTTTTTGGCTGCCACTCCTTATCTTTTATGGAATCAGGCTCCCATATGACAGAAGTACCAGTTATTAATTTGTCCACCTTCATCCACCAGTCATGCAGGCTAATGGCTTTTCACTAATGTTGGTTACAAATGCATCCATTCTCTGGTTGGAGAGGCGTAATCCATCCTTCAACAGTTGAGGGAGTGAGATGTGGAGAAATTTTTCTCCCAGTCAGCCCAGGCCGTTGAGAGGAACAAGGGTTACAGTTCTTTTAACATGGTTGGTGCTGGTTAGTGTTGAGAATGGATTGAATGGGAGCAGTCAAGAGATGTTTCAGTTGTTGTTTTGCTTTGTCAGTGTGCATAGTCAGGGATGGAAAGGCACAGCACTGGACAAACATCATGCTCATTACTATGCTTTTCTTTAGAACTGTAAGGTCTGGCCACTTGCACAACAAGCAAGGACCCCAAAATCTGGACTACACTGGGTAATTCTTTCCTAGGCTGACTCCTGAGCTAAACTGGGTAACCGCAAGTAGCCAGGAGCTGAGTACACCCTTTGTAAACATGAGTGTTCCATCCTTGGTGCTGTAGGTAATTCCACGTGTGCCTCCAACAAAATGTTAGTCTCTCTTCGTTCTCTGCAAAGCTAGAGTGATATCCATCTCAGAGGCAATAGCTCTGAGAATGAATTAAAGAGAGGTTTCAGCTGCAATATGGCACTCGAGTCTGTTCTGAAGCGGAAGTATTCTTGTTACTGATCAGAGAGTGGGATTTCTGTCCAATATTCTCTCTTCAGAAGAATTTTTTTTCTAACCATATATTGGTAGGAAAAGCTGAGAAATCAAACAATTTCATAAAAGAGGAATCCTGGACTTAGCACCACTTGGGAATTGTTCAGCATCTTACAGGCTACAGATCTATATTGGAAGAACGTTGTGATGAGGTGGAAGGAACTAAAATGCTGCTGCTGCTGTTTTATGTAGAGGTGTGCAAACCCCCTCTCCCCCACCAAATACTTGGTATATCTAGAAATTTAGGTATTGAAAGTAAGACTGTAAAAATGTTCTTATACCACCTGCATTATGATATCATAGCATCTAATGCTACAGTATGACCCCAAATTCCTAATTTTAAGCATCTAATTTCTCTACGTAGTTATTGGTAGATTGATTATTTCTTGAGGACAATACAGAGCACTTGGCTGGGACAGAGTTTTGACGCACGTGCTTTTGGCACAGATGCTTATGCAGTTGCTGTCACCCTGTTTCTTGGTAGCTTGCTGCTCATGGACACCCTCTCTTTTGCTGGCACCATTGTCAGTAGAGCTATGGTGCAGGACAATTTATGGAACTAATCTGTCTGAAAAAGAACCTTTTGTGCATTTGCTTTTGCCCATTTACTGCAGTTAGACAAGGTTCCAAGTAGTTTGCTTCAGAAAAATTTAATTCCAGCACAGTGGAAGGGACATACTGGAGACAACAGTAGAGGAAGAAGAGGAATGACTGAAACACAGCCTTAGGAACCCAAAGCTTATAATTACTCCTTCATGGCCTGCATTTTCTAGTGATACTGGTTACTCAGACTACCCAGTCTGACATTTTAGAAGGATTCAGTTTTCAGAAAGTATTAATCATTCATCATCTGAAAGGAATGAGGCTTAAGGAACGTACTTCAGATTGGGCAAAATTGCCCATAGTTACTGAAAGTAAGGTTCCTGGAATTCAACTGGTATTTTTTTAGTAAAATAAATTATTTTTATGGACTGAGACATACATCCCTTAAAACATTTAAAGTTTTTCTTGGATCAATACAGATGTCCAATGTACCTCTTTTGTTCAAAAGATTAATAGCAACAATTACATCAGATCAATCTGACATTCAGAGTAATCTGTTTCTGTTACTTAATCCAGATAGTAAAAAGCATCCATCCCTCTCTACGTGTGTATATATGTATATACACACATATATATAAAAATAAAAAACAAATATACACATACATATATTAAAAATATATATAAACACACACACACATATATATATATAAACACAGAAGAGCCTAAGTTTAACATGTTATTTTCATGTGGCACAATTACTCACTGCTTTTGGATGAAGACGATTTCTGGGAAGAGGCAAAATATTTCTGGAAAATATACACAATATGTTGAGTAGGGTTTACTTGTTTAATTCCTTGGCTCAGATATGCTTTTCAAGATCTAGAGAGGAGGAGGTCTGCAGTAATGGATTTAGTTGCAGCTATGCACTGCTGCAGTGGCTGTGGTGATGCTGTGCCCTTAGTGTGGAACTATTCTAGAAAAGATGCTGTCTTGGACCTTGTGTCCCCTGCAGCTGTGCACAGGACCTCAAACACCCTAACACACACAATGCCACCAGCTTTTCCTGAGGTATACAGCCTATTTTGTAGAACGATGTCCTAGAGATGAGACAGTGTTTACGAAGCAGCTTCCTACACTTCTGGGGACACAGGTGTGAAATAGGTTGCAAACCCATGTTTCCTTTGCCTCTTTTCCTCTGGAAACTTGGAAAATAAATCATGGATTTACTGTATCCAGCTTCTTTACAAGCAGCCCTGTGCCCCATCCCCTACAAAAATAACTAATTTGCAAGGGTGCAGAGACAGGTAATAGGACTGTAAACTGGCTTGCAGAGATATTTTACCCCTGCGCTGGATCCCTTGAAGGGATATTCAAGAGAATAGTACTCATTTGTCAAACTAGCTTGAATACCGAAGTTTGCAGGGAAATGAGAACTTTCAGTTTTTAGCTTGTCCCACAATCCCTAGCTATTTGTGTGTCCTGACAATTGCTTACTGTCTGAGGACTACACTACAGGGGAAAATTTTATCTACATTAAAATTTGCTGTTGGTACAAGCTACTAGTTACTTACCTGGAAGTATCCAGCCTAGGTGACTCTCTAGTCATGCTGTGCATGTGGGAGTGCTCTGCGTTCTGAGCAGGCGTAGATGGAAGTGGCTTAGTGAACCTACGAATAAAACATGAATTAAGAAAGGAAAATTATATTTAACTACAGTGAATACAAAGGCAGCCTCTTTCTCCTCCCCTACCCCCTCAAAATTCTAAAAAGTACCCTTAAGAGGTTTTTCTTTTTAATATGCTTTATGTCTGGGTTATTGAAAGTAACACAGAATTGGATGCCAATTTTTCTGTAGACAGCCTAAAGAAAGAGAATTACTATATGCATATCTTCTAGAGAGAGAATTATTAACACATAGTATCTACATCAGCAAATACATTTTCTGACAAGTTTTAAATAATACACACACATGTTCATAGGAATGGATTACCTGGTTACTGGTGGTGGTGATGGTTTTTCCTATAAGAGAAAGTGCACTGAATTATTTGGTCATATTTTGATTTCATAAGATCCATTTGTATGATCCTATTTAGGTTATCACAACAATATCTTATTTTTGATGTAGATTTCTAGTAGAACTTTGCCTGGTAATCTGCACTATTAAGTCATCACCAGTAAATCTGCAAAGGCCTGAGCACGCAGCTTTGGCTGCATCTCACGTCAATACCAGCAAGTGGGAAAAAAATTACTGTGTCAGAACTGTCACTGCTCCTTTGCTGCAGTTCTGCTTCTAGAAAGCATTCCCTTAGGCTGCTGCTTCCTAGACCCGATCACTATCACACCGGACTGGGAAACTTCTGTCCCTTCCCATTTACTCTGTTCTGCAGATCTTTTGAATTGATTTGCTAGCTTTTTTTGTGAAGGAGGTGTCAGAGAGCTTTAAATACAGAGACTTGACACCATTTTCCCCCTTTGAAAGACTGAATTTTATTTATTTATTTATTTTTTATGATCACATTCGCTCCCTGCCTGAGGGCAATGTGAATTAAACTATAGAAAGGCCTTACCTCTTCTTCAGGAACTTCGTAGACTTCTGTAGGACAGGGAGGATTTTGGTTAGCAAAAACATACTTCATGTTACCAGAAAAACTGATTAGAATTTGTATCAATTGTACTTCTGCCTGTGGAAAAATAACTAAGAAGTCGCCCAGAGCTTGATTCTGCCTCCAAAACCCTGGGACACCTACATCTCTGGTCTTCTAGTGAGAACTTCAGGAAAAGCCTCAGGAAGTCTGATAAACAGTCACTGTATTAATGAACCTTCCCCTTACCTGCAACCATTTTATTTTGTTTTTATTTTTTTTTTCCACCCCAAAGCAAGATGAACGCTTGTGTTGTGCAAACTGGGACAGTCTGGAAAGGATGTGTTATCACATGTGTGGTAGCTTTTAGACTTTCCTTGACTTTCAGGAAAGAAGAAATCATAATCAATATCAATCATAATCATCATAAGGAAAGAAGAATCATAAATTAAAGCTGGCTCATTTGTGTGGCCAGTGTCCATCCCAGAGCTCTGTCCCGCAGGCATATTTTAATTCACAGATACTAAAAGCCAAAACCACCAACATCCTTATTTATGTCCAGTTTCTTCAATGAAAATTGAATTATATTTCAACAAATTTTGTGTCAGGCTTCATTGCTTTTATTGCACTGACAAATGTCTGAGTTCCCACCAGGGGGAGATGTTTTATTTTTTTAGTAACATCTGTTAGGGGTGGGTCGTTGCTTAACACTGATTCACCAAAAGGCTAAGATTGAAAATGGCACTTTAAAATGCCTGAAAAGTAAGTCATAAAATCTTAAGTAGTTCAGAAAAAAAACTGTTGTAGTTTATGACTTGAAAGCTAAACACGTTACTAATGAATATGCAAAGCCTTTTAAAGAACTGTGTGTTCAGTCTGTAAAGGTTACATTCCAAGCAATTAATGACATGAGGAGGATACAAAACAACTCAGAGTTAGCACAGCTAAGATAGGTTAAAGAAGTATGTCTTCACTTACAAAAGCAAATATGATTCTTCTTGTTTGCTTCTGCTTTTGTTTATTTTTCCAAATAAATAGCTGTTTGTAGAACTTAAAACAGGAACACTTATCACAGCACACGCAAAACAGCAGCCTATACGGAATTTTTTTTTAAGGTTGAATCCTGATGTGGTTTTAAAGTATTGAGTCTTGATTCCTGTAGTGAAATGGGATTACTAACATACTGAGTCCTGTAATTGTTTTTGCTGTATTGATCCATTTGTGTTCCTCTGCTAGAGCAAAAGACTAAAAATAAATTGGTTTGGGGCAAATGACTTGTTCTAGTTTTATTCATGCTTAAAAGAGATTTACTATTCAAGCTAGGCAAAACAACTGCTACAACACAGAAAAGCACAACAAATTTTTGTTCTACTGAAGTATGTCATAGGGTTTGTGTTCTGAATACATCAAGCGTAATTTAATATTCCTCAGTCTTAGATTATATCATTTTAACAGCGATACAAACTCTACATACCTTGCATATCAGAAGTAAGGGAAGGCTTTGAAGAAGTAGGGGGGGCTGACTTTGTCGTCTTCATAAACCTGTTCACAGGAGCTAAAAACCATATTTTATTCATATACATATATACTTGTGCATGTGTGTGTATATACACATTTATATATATAGACACCTATTAGAAAACTAACAATGTAACATTTATACAATCAGAATAAATATTAACTAGGTCCAAGTGATAGCCCTTTTGTGTGACTTTTAACAAATCAACTGAGGCAGAAAGAGCTCTCATTTTGGAAGGGAAACATTATTCAGTGTTCATGCCTTGATGAATAGGTTTGATACTGTCAGTAATGTCAGAGAGCAGAACTACATACTCTTCTCTATTTAATTTTCACCTGTGAACTGTAATATTTTAACTTTCCAGCTAAATATACTTCAAATATTGAGGTAAAAAAAATGAATCAAAGTCTGTCTTTATTTACTGAAAATGTAAAGAGGCTTGTTCTTCTCCTGAGGCACTTTAGCAAACAGAGAATTTTAATGCTGTGGCTCCCTTAGATGAGGAGGGAGATTGCATACTATGAAAAGTTTCCTGGTTGTACAAGGGCTGGACTTTGAAACAGCTGAGTGAGAGAGACAGGAATTAAACATGGCTTCCAGAAAGGTTAAAAATAATTTTCCCTGGCTTTGTCATAGGCCAAAGGAGCCAATTGCCTTTTTGCAGGCTGCATTCTCTTTAATAGCTCCACCTTCACTCTTTGAACCCTACAAATAGCCATAAATTTGATCCATTTTTTTCCATTGCTGTTCCCAACAAAGCAATAATTGTTAGCTTAAATGACTAAAACTCACGTCTTGTAGGTAGTGGCGTGCTGCTTTCTGTGGGTTCAATATAGTTATCATTGTCATTGTCCACTGGTACAATGTAATTATCCTATAAGAAACACAGAAGGAAAATCTACCAGTTAAACCTCCACCATAACAACAAACTGTTGGGATTGAAGCCCTGGCAGCAGCTTATAGCAGTTGCTATTTCACAGTAACTGCTGTTTTGGACATTTATCATCCTGTGTGAATAGGATTCTCTAAGACTGAAACCCATTACCAAATGACTCCAGTTCTGGACTGCTGGATAGAAGCTCTCCCTTCCCTTTGGTCCCAAGACAGCCTTTGAGGTTGCTCTTTACCCATTGCCTGCAGCTTGTTACAGATGAGCAGAAACTATTCTGTGGCCTAAAGAGCCTCCTGAAGTAGGCAGATATCCCGTAGGAATCAGCTGCTTGTGATGTACAAGATGATTTGTGCCTTAGAGGCTAGGAAGGAGACTGGGCCATGGCATTGCTATAGACATGGCATGGCCATAGTCTATCTTATGATTGGTGCAGGGTCATCAGTCACTTAAACTGTCAAAAGAAGTATATCGAGAAGCATTACCTCATCATCACTACACTCCTTAGGCTTCGGTGGTACTTTTGGTTTTGCAGCAGATGGCGGCACTGGCAGAGATGGTTTCTTTGGTCTGGACGTGGCTGGACTGGGTGTAGTTGGGAGAAGTTTTTTGATGGGAGGAAGCTGCTGGTGACTGGTGCGATTGTCTTTTAATATGAAAAAAAAAAACAATTTTAGTGAAAATTGCACATTAGCCTTTGGACGGCCTTGTACTGCCTGTGCAAACAATTTTCTACTGTGGCCGCAGCTCACGTCAAAAGGCAAGACCTGAGTGTGTGCTGGTCCTGATGTTGAGACTTGTGTGTAACTGGTCCTATTTCATCGCTTAAGGTTGCAACCTAGTCCTACAGATCAGGCTGCAGAGGGTGCTTCGACAATGACTGTTGTATGAACAACTGTTTAACTCCTTGGGGAAAAGATGGTGGCTGGGTGGTGTAGTCCATTATTTAGTGTGTCCTGTGCCAGTATGAATTTTGGTGACAAAAGTGAGAAAGAACATATTTGACATACAAGAAAAAAACCTGTTACACAGTACAAAGGGTGGGACTGAAACACAAATGATGCCAGGTCCTCTGGGGTGTCATTTTAAAAATTCCTCCCTTTTTAAAAGAACACATAGGTGAAGTGCTGATAAACTTCTATGAGTACATATGTGGCATTTTAGCACTGTGATGATTATTCTATGACCAGTAACAGTCTTGTATGATATAGAAATGAAAGTGGGCATCATGCCAATGCTTCTTTTCCCATGGCTCAAATATTCATCTAACTGAAGCTAACTTTCCTTCATTTCGGTGCAATCTGCCCATGGTTGAAGAGACACCGTTACGCTGGACTGATGTAAAAAAAAAAAAGTCTTGATCCTGTCCTGTTTTTCAGGATATTTATCCTCCTCAGTACCAATTTTGAAAGACAATATGCAGTGAGTATCTGGGCTGTTTTGTCCTCTTTTACTGCTTTTGGAATAATGATTTGAGATACAGGGACCTGTCTAGTCTTATGTGCTTCATCTTCAATACAAATTCCTGCATTAAAATATGTGGATGAATCTGGAGCCAGTCTAGTGATACCTCCCATACTTTTGCTTGAATTTTGTAGTTAGTAGAGGTCTATCAAAGTCTCTAGGACACATTAAAATTCTAAACATTGCTACCAGCAATACTTACCTTTTTCGTGCTGTAATAACAGATTATAAACCTGAAAGCTGCACACCTGATTGTCAGAATTAAAAGCAAACTCTTGAGGAAGTGATAGGCTAGTCGACTTGAGGCCACATCTCTTCTGATAATGATAAATAAGCAACTGTCAAGCTGACATAGTCAACTATTCCGTAACTACCTGCGTATTCACCCCTAGAAATAGGGAATGCAGAGGGAATCTTCTTTTTCTCCTGCTCACTTGGAGGCGGCTCATAGCTGTCATCAGGATTCTCTTCACTGGGGACCACATACATCTCAGAGTCAGAGTGATCATCTGGATTTTCATAATCACTGTCCTAGAAAGAAAGAACTTCACATTTCTCATAACATGCTTACAGCTTCACAGCAGTGTGTGACACAAATATCTTTGCAGGAGTACAGTTAACTAAATTATGAGAATGTGTCCTTGAAAAGATGTTACACTCCCTTTTAGTGCTCGCTCTCTGAAAAAGTAGGCACTCCCTCCTGCCTCCCCTTCTGCTTCTCATCAGCTTGCTATCTCCAAGGAGTCTTTCCACACCAAGAACTCAGTCTTCAAATTATGGACCAACAGCTTGTTTCCCTTCACAGGGCAGTTCCTTCCTAGTTCCAGCTGTGACTCTTGATGTGTCCCGTGACTTCCTCTCCCTTTCCTATTAAAAGGGTACTCAGGATCTAACTCCAGAAGGAAACTAGTCACTTCAGACTGATGGTTGTACACTATGGCAATTACTTTACATAGCTGATGATCATGACTTGCTTCATTACAATGTTCTCTAAAATCTTATTAGAAGTTTTGCATTTTTATGAAGAAGTGGCTTTCCTCTCCTCACCTTACCTACCCTTCCTCCCCCAAATAGAAGATCTTACTGGTTTCTGAAATTATTGTTAAGTTTGAGAAGTCCCTCAAATTGATGCCATTTGGTTACCTATCTGAAAATCTTAGCTTCCATGGCTACCACTGACAGTGTACTTCTAAGCTGAATGTAAAAAAAAATGAGGTAGCTAAAAAATCACTGTCTACTTGTAAATAATGCTGATGTAACAAATAAGATAACATTTCAGTAGCATGAAGTTCAACCACAAGCAGATGATTAAAAATAAACTTATTATTATTGCTTGTTGCTACAGAAACCTCCCATGACCCCAAAATATGTACTTACAAAATCATCTGACCATTGTTCCTCTTCATTGTCTGCACGTTCTAAATGAAACACAGTTATTTAAGGAGATGGAATAGTGAATATACATGTTTATCTTAAGTACAGATTGAAAATCAAAATCTATCATATTCAGTTAAAAAAAAAGTAGTGAAAATTTCCTAAACAGTTCAGAGCAACACATCTGGTTTGGCCCGAATAGTAAATTAAATGTCTGCTTGCTTGTTTTTGTTAAATTTTTCAGAGCTGTTGAAAAAATTATTGGAAACAGCAGACTACACATGGTCTGAACAGCAGAGTGTCCTGCTAATGCATCCCATTTTTAAATAGGAGTACCAATTTCTACATGACAGAATTGCTGGCCTCTGGGCCTCGCAGTTTCTTGTTTCTTGGTTAAACCTTCAGGACAGCACACTAATTACAAGTGTTTATGTTAAATATGGAAGAATTACCTGATAACTTCCAACCTCTGCCCTTTTGCTTCAGTTTTCATATCATTGTTTCCTTAACAAGATAGGTGTTATACTTGTAAAAATAAGCATGAACTAGTTTGTGGGCAGTGCTGTATCATAAGCAAACATAATTCTACCTCTAAGATAATTAATGATGTAATTGTTGTCACATTAATAGTATTAAGGTTCTGACTTCTGTGATGATCCATTTGTTCAATTTTTTCCTATTTACTTTCATGTCACCGTTTCTGGTAGAGAAGGAGTGTGTGTGAATTCTTTAGTGCAGCCTACATTGTAGAGCTCTGGTAGATGCTGATTTTGAAAGAGCAGTTACTTGCTACTCTTTCTTCACACTGGGAAAACTTGACACATTTTGTTTGCCTCTTATTTCGGATGTGTGAGCTATCTTCAGAATTGTTGGCAATAGCATATTTTTCTCTAATTAAAAACAAATTATGAGGGAATGTATAGCTGAAATACTGTTGGGCACATAGGTATCACGTACACACAGACATGCAGGTTAGATTTCCGTTAATCCAGCCTTACCTGAAGCATAGTCCCTTTGTGGTAGACTTGGTGGAGGTTTTTTTTTCAGTCTGTAAACAATAATTAGTAAATTTATGATCCAATAAGTAACACTCACTACAACAGAGCATTAGCCAGACACAAAAAAAAGCTGATAACAAAAGATACCTGCAGCTGAAGAAATACAGATTACCATCACAGATGCTTAGCAAATAGCTGCAGGAAAATGCTTTGAAAAGCTAGAAACAGATAAGAAATTAGAATCTAATGCAAGACGGTTTTTTTGGTAAGAATGTATTTTTAAAGAACAGATTCCCTGCCCACCCACCCTGTTCTTCATTTCCAATGCAGAAACAGATAACATGGATGTGCATTTATCTCTGACCCCTAACTGAAGATGAAAATCTGTTCAGACTCAGATACTTTTTTTTTTTTGCTAAGCTTATGGCATAGGAAAGTGGTGCAGCACTCTCCAGTTGTATTTTTATAAATATCATTTTGCATGCACTTTATTTTGTGATTAATGTTTGAATGTATACCAGGTGTCTCAGGGCCAGATCCTGTTTCCACTTACTATTGTTTTTATGGTGTTATGCCCCTTATTTGGTAAATATTGTTATAAAGGCGTTTGTAATACCAAGTGAATCAAAAGATAATTTGTAGAAACATTGAAAGGATTTTTTGTGGCTGTACATACACATATGTACATATATATATTCAGCAAACAGTATACATATATGTATGTACCATCTATACACGTATTTGTGCATACTCCTGTTCATATATGTGTATAGTCCTGTTTGCTGAATTGCAGCCGCCCAGAAAAGACACTGAATTACATAGTCAGTTGATATATCAATTCTTTCATTACCCTGTAAAACAGAAGTATTTGTGTTTAAAGTCAAAACAAGTTGTGCATGTGTGACATTAAAGGCCAGATTGATGCACCTTAAGAGAAAAAAACCCTTTGCTTGTTGTAGCCATATAAAATGTTAATACAATTTACATTAAAATGACCCTTCAGGTTGACTTTTGAACATTATCTGACAGCCTCCCTGTAGCACTGATGAGACCCAACCATGGACCTTTGTCCACTGAATTGACAGCTTCGCTTGTTCTTCAGTCAGGTCCTAGCAATGAATTTCTTGAGGTTATTGATTTCTCAAAAATAAGGAAATTATTTTTTAAAAGATTGTCCATGAAGAATTTAACATGCTTTCTTGTAATCTCTGAGCAACAGTAGTGTCTACAGAATTTGCTTTACCACAAGAATTTGACACTCAGTGTGTAGGTCCTAAGCATGCTGCTTAAGTGTCGTTGTTCGGGTACCAATGTAACTCAGGGTGGTGGCACCCTGGCACTAACACCTCACTTTACGAGCTTTTCCCGTCTGTTTTGAGAAATGCTTTGGCAACAGTTGAGTTGAAATTAATGGAATTCTGGTGTTTGGGTGGTCAAATAACGCACATGCATGAATCAATGAATAGATGGTGCAGGCATTGCTAAAGCTCAAGGGGAAAAAAAAAAAAACCAAAACCAACCCTAACCCAAAACCAAACCAAAAACAATCCAGGCACATTATTTTTGGAGTGTTTGCCTGCTTTGTTCATTACTAACAACGCTAATGATGGAGAGCTGCCTCCTCTGATTCTTTAACTTCTTGGAGCATGAATATAACAGTGCACAAACTATAAGTTAAAAAGCATTCTCAACAACCCTGCTGTTGTCTTCTGTCCAGGTTAGCACAGGCATGTTAGAAAGAAAAACCCAGGGCCACTGCCAGGGCAGATCTCTAGTCTTAGGGAGGGTAACCAAAATCTATTAATGTACTTTGCAACATGTCTGTTGGGAGTTGTATAGAGATGGTGGAGACTTGGAAAATACTGAAACTGAGGCAATAGTATGAGGTTGTCTGGGTCACAGGGTAAAGTATGTGGCTGAAGCCACATATACATTTCCAAGCTGCTGAGCAAAAGACTTCAACACTTTGTCCCAGGTCCTGTAAATCCTGGCAGTGGCCCCAACAGAAAGTGTAAATATGTTATAACGAAAGCATACAGAGCACAGAACAGAGGTCTGTGTCTAAGCAGCCTATCATGCCGCTGTGCAGCTCTGAAATAGCATACCGATCCCAAGTATCTTTCCCAGTTTTGCAAATTAAGGCCACTTGTTCATTTTGGAACCTGAATATCAATAAAAGAAAAGAAAGAATATTTCTGTCACAGAGCTGAAACAGTTCACGGCCACATCTATATTTGCTAGAATCGCTTCAAATACATTATGTGTTCTAGAATTCAAATCCACTTTAAAACATTCTCACTGTACTGGTATGATTTACTGAGTGCCAGAACCGAAATCCAGGCTCTTTTGAAGTCAGCTGGAGCTTCGCTTGGTAAGAGACAGAATTTCAAACTCAAAAGCTGTAACCTCTATGCCAAAGAGTGGTTACCTAGCTATGTCAGAGTCTGACAATTATCCAGAGAGATGCTTGCAGAGTGACAATTGACTCCGTCCTGTTCCCCCAAAGTTAACATGAAAGGACTTAAAGAATCAAATGCCATCCAACTGATCATACATATTTAAGTGGAAGACAGAATTATTTCCTAATGTATCTTTTAACAGAGTCATATAAAATCATAGCAAATGCAATTTCCAAGTAAAATATTCTAGTGCTTCTCCACTCGACTTAAGTTACAGGTGGTGAAGCATCTCTTTATCAGCTGTGATAGAACACAAATAATTCAAGTGTCCATTTACTTGAATGGGACCAGTACTTTTCTAAAAGCTAATACAAAATAAGTTATTTTCTGGAGATATTGAAATATCCTTGAAAAACTTCAGTTCTAGAGGACTCAATAAAGTCCAAGTACGTTTTTAAGAGTATGTTTACAGGATTTTAAATGCAACATAACATCTTACTGTATACATTTTGTCTACAAATAACCAGGTAGCATTTGAGACATTTCGCATAACGCTTGATGCTGCTCACACAAGAACAAAATGCAATGTACAGAAATTCACAATAACTTATAGGAGAATGAACTATTCCATTTTCAAAAACATTATATTCTGAGATTTTCCCTCTGTAGCATGCTGAGGTTGATCCAGCAGAGCACTTAGGGACGTGCTTACCTTTACTTATGTAAGTAGTCCTATAGGAATTGCAAGTATTAATCACATGCTTGAAGTTAATATCACATTTTTGTTTCTTAAATAAACTGCAGCAGAAGTCAAAATTTTCTGCTCAAGCAGCACTTTTTAGAGGCTGCATCCAGAAAAGTAACCAAACATACACAGTAGTAGCCCTTTACATGTATCACTTAATTCTCCTACAGACACATTTCCTCACTAGTGTTTCTGCTCACTCCCCAGCTCTTAAGGTGTGCCTAAAAGCTCTTAGTTTTCAAGAGTCCTTCAGTTTTTCTGTTAACACTGTACAGAGTCCACTCCCTTCTTAGGAAACATTTTTGCTTAACAGGATTTACAAAAATTATATTGACATCTTTACTGAGTCAAGTAATTATAGTGTGTATTAGCCTTAAGTGCACTAGTTCAAACTTGTGACTAAAAGATAAATTAATTGAACTTTCTCAAAAACTTTACCACAGTTCCTGACATATACAATCCAGCTGAGAGATAAACTTTTCCTGAGCTCTATTCTTATGACCTAATGGAATAGTCTGTTATAGCTTTGAAAGTGATTGTACAAAATAAAATTAATCTATTTTTTTTAAGTGTTATTATTACTCTTTCATACATTTTCTTTACAATGTGCTGTGGCAGTGAAATGGCATATAGCTGTGATTTATCTATCTTTGATAAAATATTGTTTTATTGATAAAAACCCTGGCACTCAAAACATTGTATTCAACGACACATAGAAATTCACATTTCTTCAGAATACAGTTAAAATTAGGCATCATACTTTCCCTAGTTTCTCTTTCCAAATGTGGTACAACTCAATTTTGGTACTTTTCTCTCATTGTTTTGTCCATAAAATACCACTTTTCTCTCTGCCAAGGGTTTGATTATGGATGTCTTCTAGTTGCAGCTATGCAGGTTGAAGGACATGTAGTGATAACAACTCAATTTTTCTACCTGAATCTACAGCCCAAGTTATAAATAGTATAGAAAAAAGGACCAGACAAAACTGAAGTAAAAACTAGCCCAACTAAAAAGCTGGGTAAAGCAGATGAGATGAAGAAGCATCTTCTTTCCATTTTTCAGGTCATGTGGCAAATGTGATTTCAAGAAATAGACATATTTGGAGTGTGTGCTACAAGTGCACGATTTCTGATGGCTTTGCAAATGAAATTTTGATAGGATGTGACATTGCAATAAGGTGAGTAACCTGAGCTTCTAGTTTCTTACTCAACACAGCACGTCAGTATGTATGAAAACTTTAGGGTGAAATCCTGACTTTGCTGTGTATGCAGTGTGACTTTTAACATCGACTTCAACGGAGCTAGGATTCCACTGAGCAAACCTAGAGACTTAAAGCTTACGATTTACAAATGAGCGCTATGTCTTTATGGTGTGTTTCAAGCATAGGCAACCATCCTGCAGAGTGAAACCTATGATTTCTTTCTTACTTCCCTATTCTGTGTTATCAAGGATGTGACTGTGGAAAAAAATGCACCCAGCTTTCATTGTTTATACAGCTTTGGCTATACCTATTGCTTCTACACCTCAGTACGTAATCCTCTTTGACATCATGATATGCACAGCAGCTGGGACTCCAGTATTGTAAACAGTTTTGCATGTGATTAAGGGTAAGCAGATGAATGATAGCCTGCAGTGGGCAATATTTTTACTGTCAGAAAACTTTGAGTCAGGGTGAAGAATAAACAAGAGGAACTTTTAAGGAATTAAGAAACAATCTGTAGTTTTTTTTTTCTGTTATCACCACTATTCAGACTGGTTTTCACAGACCTTTAAGACACGCATGGATGGCAGGTGTATTCCTCCCCGCCTGCACCCTCCCGATGAACTAGATTGGAGAGTAAGACACTTGATGCAAGAACTTATCTTACTTTTCTGCATAATCAAGAGCCAGTCTAGATTTTAGAAGTGTCTTAACAAATACTGAGAATAAGTCAAATGTATTTTATGAGTGTTTGATCATTCTTTCAGTAGCAGAGGCTTACAATATACATGTATGTGACAACTTTAGGCTTGGGATAAGCAAGTACACTATAAGACTTGTCTAAAATTATTTCTACTTCTAGTAGGTTTGAATTCGAGACAAAACAGTATTTTTTCCAGCATATAGAGAATTTGTAAATCTGTGCTACCTAAAGCTCGTTTTATTATACATTTTTCCTGCTTCAATCACGCTTAGATCCTTGACATTTAATAAAATAAGCCTATAACTGAAATGGAGGGGGTGATCAACTGGATAATTGCATTATTTATTTTTTTTTTTTTTAGAAAAAGCATCTACTAAAACCAAACAAAAAGCCCCCAAAGGGCACATTCAGAGGAATACAGCCAGTTCTAATACTGCAAAGCTTGGCAACTCTTGTACGTATCCTTATCAGTGTTGCCAACTCATGCTTTTATTGCAAGTCTCATTATGTGCTGGGTTCAAGATTTGAGTTCTGAAGTCATGTGCAATTGTGAGAATTTTTCTTCAATTTTTTAAAAAATAAGAGTAAGTTTCTGATCTTCCTAATTGCAGGAGAGATTAATATGACTCGGACGAACCACAGAAGTATCACAGAAGGATTTTTAAAATTTTTTTTTTTTTTTTTTTTACATATGAATTTGTATTCTCATAGCTGGGGGAGGTGAAATATGAGCTTTGTGCTGCAGTCATACATTAAGAGAGCTTTTATGAACCTACTCTTTTTTGGGATTTTTTTTTTTTAATCTGGAAGGAATCAAAGAATTGCATCATTATAGCAGCAATCTTGTATCTGACATTTAATGATGGCACCTCTGACCTTCCCAGCTTCAGCTACATTTAATTCTTGTTATTTTTCCCTTGCTTGTCCTTCCCCTCTTACTCTCAAGGAAGGACACACAGTCAGAGCAATACTGATTAACAGCAGAGTTCATATCCGTGCAACTATGGGAGACAATTTGTTGCCTCAAATTATAAACTTGTGATTGTTTCCTATTGTTTCTGCCATCTGCTTTCCTCTCTGAGGTATTTGAACTAGACCCACTGCAACATTATTATCTAAACGTAACTACTACTGTGAAGCAGGAAGCCACCCTTTATTAAAAAGGATGAACCAAAAAACCCAATCCAGCCACCCAACCCCCTTCCCTCCAAAAACCCATCAAAAGCCTTTACAGCCTAGAAGCTGTGAGGAGGTTCCAGGTGAAACAGATTTTTTTGCAAATGGATCTCTGAACACAGTGATCTATTTACATGCACACTGTTAGAAACAAAAACACCCTTAGATTAAATTCAAGGTCCAAGTAGCTAAAAGAGGGCAATTTTAAGGAAAAGCTTGCATTTGTGTTTGTGGGGAAATAACAAGTATATATACCACATGACTGCGTTTTACTGGTAATTGCAGCAGTGCTTGAGTGAAAGAGGATGAGTAAAGAAAAAAGTGATCTCAAGAATCTCTCTGATGTATCAGGTGCTAGCATCAGGGCCTGCTGAAGGTTTGCTGACAGAAACACAGCTGTGATAGGGGCCGCAAAGGAGGGCTTGCGACCTAAGTTACTCCTGCCACCTGGGGAACAGGAGGCTTCTGCTCCTAGAAGTCTGTCCCCCTCCACTGCCAGGGATAGCAGCTGCCCCACAAACACCAGCCCTGCCTGGGCTGGCAGCAGGAGCCGTAGCTGTAGGCAGCCTGGCTTTGTGGAGCTCTTGCATAGCCAAACCCTACTGCTTCTCCCACCAGCTTACTGATCGCTTCATATATACCTAGAATTAGCTCTTGTTGAAACATGTTTTTTCTTTTCCTTAACTGAACCATCATAGTCGCTCTTTAAGAACAATTTTAAGCAATGTTTGTATGTGCCTTTTATGTACAAGAGCTGAATTTCTAGAATTTAACATGGTTGTCTTGGAAACACTGCAGACACTGTGTACTAATTAACTTTTAAAAGTACATTTGTCATCAATGACCCATGTAAAGAAAGACAGCTGAATGAGAAAATCACATCCAAATGGCTGTTCAATGCAAATGAGCTATTGCATTAAGAAAAAGAAAAAAGTGTGCTAAATAGCTAATTGGTTTAAATAGATGTTTGACTGGAAACAGTGAATAGTGTATTCATTTGACAAGTATGCAGAATTACTGGAATTTCTTTCTATGTATAAATACACATGAATACTTTATGATACTCATATGCACATGACATCAATATGCATGCTGTTTAGCATTTCCTACTGGAATAAGAACGTTAGGTAATGCTGAGTTCTGTTGTGTGGAACTGAAACACAGAAGGACTTAACATTTTTATGGGAATTCTAACTATGATGTCTGACCAGTTGGTTCAAGGTGGAGCTCAAATTAAAACTTAACTGCAGCAGGTAGCCTAAACAGTGGCCTGAGGAGAAAGGTGCACACCCAAACAACAAGCAATGATCATTCCCAAAGAATATGTAAGAAAAGTACATTTTACCCAAATACTGTTTTTCAGGTCTACAAACACAACCTCCTGTTGGAGGCCAGTTCTGCAACTGCTTTGTGATACTCTTAATACTGATAACAATTCTGCATGTCAGAGTCTAGACTGAAGCTCTTTACACACGCTGAAGTACATCTCTCTAGAAAAACGTGGTCCCATTGCTAAAGTACTACACACTGTGCTAGCAATATGAACTTCACCAAATTGATAAAACTAGGAGTGGCATTTCAAACTTACTTTTTGAACTTGTTTATTATTCCACTTTCATTTTTCTTGATGTTATGGACCATCTTTTGAAGCTTCCTGTAAGATATTAAATACAGCCAGCATTAAAAATTACCATGTGGTTGAACACCCATTTATATAAATTAAGAAAAATACAGGAAACATTTCCAGTAATATTTCACACATCAAAAATATTTAGTATGTGTTTAATAAGTAGTTAAGTTGCTAAATCATTTGTGTATGAAGTTTTCCTTCCCTTTTAACAGAGCTCTTTGGCATGATTTGTGTTATCCTTCTCCTTAAGACAATTAAGTGCACTTTAAATTATTGATTCAAGAGTAAGTGCATCAGGAAAGAACATAATTGCCTAAATTAATAGTTTAGAATATTTCAGTTTTAACATTTTGTGCAGAACTGACTTCACAGCACTCCACAGCTATAATGGGAATGCCTTCTGATATCTGAGCTTACACTAGTCATTTTATCAGTGGACAGTTTACCTCATTCCCATAGTCTTTGCAGTTATAATACCAGGGGGTGAATGATACGCTCCCAGGCCCAGACCATCTGAGAAACCATTAGAGTATCTGTGACTGAGCTGTAAAAACTCATGATCTCAGGACTCCAGTTACATGGACTGATATCTGGAATAATAGATTGTTTTTATTCATCAGTTGCACTGACTTCATTGAAATTTTACTTGTAATCAAGGCAATTTAAGTTGTGTATCTTTTTTTACTCAGCAAGTATTAGAGTCCCACCTCCCTTCTCATTTTTTAAAGAAAACACACCACTGAAGTCAAGTCAATGTCAGGAACACAGATATAACTCTGCAAAAGACTGATTTTACAGTGAAACCTGTTGGAAGTCTGGTCATACTAGAAACTTCTATACAATGCATCTATATTTTTAGTTTCTTCACACAGTATGTTCTTCCTATTCACCTAAATAACTATTAGACCTAAGCTGAAGATTTTATCACAACCAATAAATGAAAGCAATTTTTTTTCCAATAAAGGCTTAAAAATTTTTGCCTTCCATTATCATTCACAATTTAGTCTTGCCTACCACATTTCTGATGCACGATCATGCTACCCTAAGACTCTTTAGCTTAGAAAGAGAAGTACAAACATCAAAGTATTCTTTCCCTTTTTAAAAGTTTTCTTTAAACTTGAAACCTTATTATTCAGAAGGTTGAGTGGCACATAGAGCTTCATAAAAAGAAACTGTCTTCCAGCTTCATCGTTAATAATTACAACTGTCTCTTAAAATTTAAATAACTTTTTCAAAGGAAATTGGAATTACTTACAAATTAGCTAAACAATTCAGTAAATTACTGCACTGCACTAACATTACGTGATTATTTGTCTGCAGTCTGTGGTTCAGGCTGAGCAGACACATTCAAGGTATCAGGTAATGATTGAGTATTAGGCTTATGCTGAAAGAGACTTTCCTGTATCTGCTACTGAGTTTAGTGCAATTGTGGTAGTTAGTGACAATTAATCCCACTTTATGAGACTCGCTTAAATAACAGTTAAATAATTGACTCCTTGTAAGTTTTTGGAATTCTGAAATAAATAATAAAGCTTAGTCTTAATAATGTTTACCAGAACAAAAAATCTGATCCTTTCATTATGTTGGCTGGAATTGAAGGACATTCCACATTTTCAGAAGCCCCGTAGTAAAACAACATGGAATATTGTGCTGTGACAAGCTAATCATGGGTCTGATACTTAAAGAGTATTTCTAAAACCTAAATCTTTGCTCAATTTTACTTAAAAACCAAATCAACCTATTCTTTTTAGGCTCTCATTTCCGAAAAAAAAAGAAAAGAATAACTGACAAATAATTCACAAGCACATATTTAACTTTTGCTTAAAACATACCATTAATTTACAGCAAAACAATATAGTATTACCTGCTCATATGAAAAAAAAATTAATTACTTATAGGTGTAAGAAACAGGCACACAGCAAAATGTTTTGAGATTTCCTGTAACAACACACTACATCTATAAGAATACCTTGGATTATTATGTAAACTAACCAGACACATTAAATCTGCAAATCTGGAGTGAAGACCTCAGAAGACCACCTGCTTTTTTGTGGGGTTTGTGTTTTTTTTCCTAATAGATTCAGCTTCTGGTTATGCTTGAAAAATCACAAATAGCCATCTTCTTCAATTTAGTGTTTCTTTCTTGTGCCCCAGCTGGCACCTGGTAGTGTCTATAAATGAAAAGTAGTGAGGAATGAAAAGACTGAGAGGAGATTTAAATGGTTTGGTTCTAGTTTAGGGACAATGGCTGTTTGCAAGTGTTTGTTTCTGTTTCAAAAAGGCTTGTGAGCCTTTAATTAGAAATGCATGTAAGCATCAGTTATTTTTCTTCCTCTATTTATTGTTTATTAAGACCCAAACAAAAAAAAAACCAACCCACACCATATCAACCTAGCTATAGATTTAGATCTGAATATTGCTTATTGCTCAGCTCTGTTGTTAATACATCTCTACAAGAGCAAAATTATGGCTTTATTTTGAAAAAAACGTGTTTCATTTTTTCACAACTGATTTCACTTGCCCACTTATACATACAAGTAAAGCCCATCCCAATATTTATGAGTACCCAGAACAGTTTGGTTTTCATTTGATCATATTTAGGTGAATTGATTAGATGATCACAGGTGCTCCATGTGCACTGGATAAGACTATGGTTTAAAAGAGCATTTTAATACGTATTTCCATTTTTTAAAAAGATGGATTTAAATTAGAGATATTCGCATGTGCCGTGGTCAGTTATTTTCCCCATGCAGATGGACTGAAATCAAAACATCCCCATGTTTGCATAATCAAATGTCTTAAAAATCTCTGCCTCTCTTATTCCTCATTCTATTCCTGTAGCCATTTCATTTTACAATTACATATTGTGATAAGTAAGGGAGCATCTAATAAGTATTTGTGTGGGTGTTCTTTTCAATTTTTAAAATTATGTAGCTCTTGTAGGAGTTGCTAGAATGCTTAGTTTCTTGCCTCTGGACAACTTGTATCAAGCCTGTGAGAGGAAGCAGATAACCAGTGCACTGCATAGTAGTAAGTGTAGGAAGTTATCAAGCATGGATGACCTCCAGTTCAAGAGGAATCCCCTTTGACCCATGAAGCTGCAAAAACCGGCCTGTCCAGTTAAGCTAGAGACTGAGATTTCTTGAGGTGCCAGCCAATATAATAGGCTGCAACTAGCAAGTATTACAAAGAGCTGTCTGACTTGTGATTTTAGAGCGACAGTAGAGAAGATGAGAGGCAGATAGTAAAGCCTATAGCAAGAGGATTCTTCAAATCCTAAGGGTCTCAAACCCAAGCCTGAAGTCCATTCCAGAGCAGTGAAGCACAAAAGGGCGTTTATACACTTAATGTTTTGCCTGGATCTGCATCTCTGACTAGTTCTCAAATACTTTTTGTCTGACTCTTAAATACTTTTATTTACTTAAGACAATACTCCAGGTAAAGAGGCTCATTGTAGGAGGAATTTATCAGAGCAGCAGCCAAGAAATTATCTAGGAAATGGAGGCTACCATGGCCCAATGTAGACAGCCCTTGCTGCAGGTACATAACTACAACCTTCTTTCTTCACAACAACTCTGAGTCAGGACCTCGTTACCAACTAATGTTTATTCTCTAGTTGTTCTCTTGGGATGAACAGATACTGAAAACATTCAAGGACCTCGACAAGCTAATACTGTAAATGAAAATAATAACTAATGCTAGTTTTGCCTTGCATTGCAGTTCATTAAAGATAATTAAGAGGGCAAACTTTTGAGTTGTTTCTTAACTGCAAGCACCAACTCTTCATAACTTTGTTGAGAGATTTTTACATAAAATTAGGCTTGCAGATAAAGGTGCAGTCTGCGTCACTGTTAATCTCTGAAAACACTTTTCAGCAATAAATAGCTGTTTTGAGATCCAGTTTAATTATGACAGCTATAGACTGGATGGGACCTTTTGATCAAGAACTCACTGCACAGGACTTAAGCAGATGACACATTTGTAAGCCTTGGCTGTAGGTGCTTCTAAAAAGTTCTAGGTTTCTAATAACTACATTAGAAATTCTGCCTATTGGAAGGAATAACAAAAAAGACTGTTTAATGAATCCTAAAAGGAAACACTTTTTAGCCCTGTGTTGCTATTTTTCATATCTTAAAAATTTTTACCTCCAGCAATTCAGGATTATCAGACGTATTGACAAAGGGGTCTGTAGCTGTGATACGTGTGTAAAGGAAGGGGGAAAGGTTTACCACTGCAAATACAATATACCCTGAAGGAAGGATTTGCTGTGTCACAAAATATGTAGCTGTGCTCAAGGACTGGCAGAGCTGCCTTGACATAAACCAAAATGAAACAAACCCACCCTCTCTTTGATCTGGTCACAGCTCAGTGTGTGAGGAATGCGTGTCAAGTGAAGGACGATGGGGGAGACCTGGTCTGTGACACGTCCCCACTCTTAAACTTCATCTGGAAGCTTTTGGTTCTTTTGCATACAAGCTATCTCACAAAAGCTTTCCAAAGTTAAAAAAAAAATTAAAAAAAATAAAAATAACATTAAGGAGAATAAAGTGTTTAATAAGCTTTCAACTCAGATGTGAGATGAGAAACAGAGCCCCTAGACTTGAGAAAGAGGAGTCTGTCTGAATTTCAGATAGACCTGTGTAATAAGGAATTTTCCCACCATTTTGTCTAATTTTTGAGAAGTTGCATTTATCAGTATTATAAATCCGTGAAGACACAAATATAGATTATGTAAACCTGTATATTATGGCTCAGAGCAGTCAGCATGAATGGCTTTTTGGTGGCTGTGACCTCCCCCTGCTCATGGACAGAGAGGGATCTCCTGCACGCACGAACAGCGCGATTCACCTACTTGTGCACAGCGAATCCAGTACTTTGGACCTTCAGCACAGACATTGGTCATCAGTATTTTATCTGTACAGCTGCCTATGTTACGTGATGAATGACAGCCCATACCAAGTGACAGCCCTCTGCTGTAAGAATGTATTACGTGGTCTCTGTGGTGGGAAGACTGGGCATGGTTG